TGATTGATGAGTTCTCTGTTTCCCCAAGGACTGATCAGTCTTGCGGTGTTAGGTTCTCAGCGTCTTCGTACTGGGTCACAATGATGCACTTGATTAAGCGTTCAGTGATTCCTTTAAAATACTTCTGATTCTAATGAACCGGATCTCTTTCAGCAATACGTTAAAGGTATATCAGCATCTGGGATGCAATCAAATTATGGTTTTGAGGGCCAGGTCAACGCTTGTTGGAGACATAAAATGACTCGTTCTGAGATTGAGTTGATAAAATCTGCGGGTTTTCTCGTTTCAGTCATACATGGCAGTGCGTGGTCCTTCCCAATGTGATGTTCAATCATATTAATATAGACTAGAAATTGCACAGGAATCATTAGTGTATGGTAGAGGAAACAATTTTGTTCGAAATTTTTTTGTTTCCAATAGATCATAAGGTCAACATTAATAATAACAACCATAATAATAAGAAGAAGAAGAAGAAGAAGTCACTGTACATACCACATAGAGCCTAATGTGACGTTGCCCAAGAATTCCTTGTGTCCGATGTTCAAAAAATTTGGAAAAGGAACTGGATAACTTTATGTAAACTAAAAAGACAAGTTAACTGGAGACAAAATTGAGGCTATCATTCATTGCATATTTCATGCTTGCATTCATATTTCGTACATAACAAGGCATTATCCATGAAAGATATAGACACAGTCAATCTTCTTTATAGTTTTAACTTAAGAGATGGGCTGCACCTTTCCTGCACATCTAGGTTTGATGTAATTGCTCAGATATACTATGCAAGAAGATTAGCAGAGAGGCTGTACCCAATGGCTAGAATGGTGGATCTTTTTGGAGGTCATTTAGTAAGTCACGAGAGAACCGAAGAGGTAAATTTTTTTTTTTTAAAAAAGATGGACCAAAAATCAACTGGACTCAAGTTGTACCTTGTGTATAAAAATTTATTTGCAGAGAAATATGAATAGACAATCTTTTTTTTTTTTTTAATTTTTCGGCCCAAAAGCATATATGCACTCGTTTATTTTGACCGTGTGACAAATAGTCACTCTATGGTCTATACTTTGACATCTGGACACCAGATACTTCTAGTTTAATGTAGTTTGAATGAGGAAAGCTATTCAGATACTTGCTGATAAACACGTAACATGCTAATATCACACAATGCTGTTTTGGCCTGTTTCCGTCACATTCCTGCATGTCAAATATGATTTATATTTTGCAAGGAAAACAATTAAAGAGGCACATTGACAAAAAATGATGTGAAATGATAAAGGGAAAAATCATCGAGCAATCATACCATGCCATTTTTCCTTATACATAAATACATTTAAAAACTTCATTAAATACATGGTAGAAGGTGGATGAAAGGATCTACTAATATGCGAAAAACCAAAGGTTTATTATTCGGATTTCAAGGTGCATTGTTTCTGTTCAAAGAAGATTCAAATTACTGAGGCATCCGTGCGTTTTTCCTTCTTTTTTTTTTTTGGTTGCTTTTTTGTGTTGTTTTGTGTGTGTGTGTGTGTGTGTGTGTTTTTTTTTTTTGGGGGGGGGGGGGTGTTTCAACATTTTCCCCTTGTTTCTAAAATAAGAATCAAGCATCACAGAGGAAACTAACATACAAATTGCGAACTTCAGGTCAATCAGGCACTTCTTGACTTGATCAAGGCATCAGAAGTAAAGATGAACCCAGAAGATTGGACTAATTTGTCTAAGAAAACTTCTTGTAAGCATTCCAAAAAAAATTGTTTACACTTTGCAATTCAGCATTGGTTTACATCCGGAATGACTTTCATCTGTAACTCGGTGGATTGTTAACATGTGATATTTACGTTTATGCGCTGAAATATTTCTCTAGTACCTTATGAGGAATATAATTTATCCGTATGATCATTGAGAAAATATGGAATGATCGAATAGTTTTTCTGATTTGATGAAATATGGGATGTTCCTTGCAGGGTGGACAGAGAAAAGGACGTTATTTTTAAGTCCAAACATCCAGGGAGGAAGCGCCTCCGTAAAGTGTTGCGTCTTAGAAAAATTGCATCTCTTTCTTATATTTCTCTTCAGTCTGCTCCTTTTGGTATTTGAGTATGGAAGAAAGCTTCTAAAAACTGTGGTCAAGCCAGTTCGAGTTGCAAGTTCCGCCTCCTAAGTTGAGGGTCAATGACCCGTTGCTTTTTGATCTTACGGGTAATTATGCCTATTCCTCTGCATATATATCAATGATGCGAAATAATTATTATCTGTATCTAAAGGTTTCTTTTAACTGCAGGTATTTAATCAAACATGGCCAAATCGGTCATACCCAAAAAAGACATCACACATGTAGCCAGCAGAAAGAAGGCTCATGTATAAGGCGATGTTTGTCAAGTTTCATCTGGGGAAAACGCAAAGGTTTTCTGAAGTTTCAATGCCCGAGCTTAGACGGAATCCTTTCAGGCCCTTAATTTGAGTCCTGGGCATAACACTAACGCGTATTCTTTCATTTGCTACAAGGCGAATTCCTGAAGCTTTGTAAACAGATGAGGTGAAAAAAAGGCGGGATGACCCACTTTCTCTTTGTTGTATGTACACTACTTGAAATCTTGAATGATAAATTTATATACAAGCATGTTATGTTTCGTGACTTGGAAACAGGGAGCAAATAAAACAAGTTTCAGACTTCTCACGGCAAAATGGGAATCCCAAGCGTAATAACGTTGCAAACAAGAATAATCTTTCCTGGATATGATTTTATGGTTTCTATCCATGGATCTTAGGGGTAAAAATATTCATCTAGAACAGAATCGATTCAGCTATCATTCCCCATTAATCCCGAAATTGCAGGTTTTGGACCTAATTATCGCCCCCTCCCCAAGAAAACTCAGTAATTAATTGATTTCTCAATTTCTCAACTTGACTTCTATGTGCAAAATTTATTCATAGAAAACAACCCAAAAAAAAAAAAATATCAAACAATAATCGTTAGTCAAAGATGCAATCGCCGTAATATGGAATGTTCTTTGCAAGCTATTAGTGAAGGAAGACGAGAAAAGCACGCAGCACATGCACACGTAATTTTGGGGTCCGTATACAGTGCTCATCAAGTGATGAGCACCAGGTGCTCATCACCTGATGAGCCATCTGGACCGTCCAGATTTAATCTGGACGGTCCAGATTTAATATTTTAAAATAATTATTTTAAAATATAAAAAAATATATTTTTAAAAATGATAGTTAGGAGATTATCTTTATTTTTTATCTTATATCTATTAAAATAATTATTTTTTAAAAAATAAAATAACATTAAAATTAAATCTGGACCGTCCAGATCAGATCTGGACGGTCCAGATCTGATGAGCATTGGGTGCTCATCAAAACTGATGAGCACCCAATGCTCTCCGGTAATTTTGCAAGAAACCTCTCTAAAATTAGATCATCACTAAGTTCAGAAGCTGCAACCTCAAATCCACAGACCCGGATCACACACATAACCAAAAGGTAAATTTGTTTTGTTTGATCATCCTCAACTGCAAGGTTATCAGAGAGCCATTTTAACGAGTAGAATCATAAGGTGGTGACAATCTTGGACAGTAAGAACTCAATTCAAATCCAAGCAAATCAATCTTAGATGCACCAGAACGCTTTGAATTAAATTCAATGGTTAACATTCAATCGACAGACATGAGATACTCATATACTTAAAAAGTCTTTCTTCAAAGTTGATTAAATAATTCAAACCAACCAAAACAATACGAATTCAAACTCTGGTTGACGAAATACCAAAGATGAGAGCATAAATTACGACAAATTGAAGAAAGAATCAATACCAGCCTACTGTGGCGTAAATAATAAGCACGCTTTCTCAAATTAGAATGCGCATTTTATCATAGGTGAGAAGACGGACGAATCAAAGTTGAAAGAAAACCTTGAAACAACTTTGAGCGTCCTAACTCGTAGGATAACTGATACGACAAAACTAGAGAAATAAAGTGAGAGAAAGAGAGCATACCTGGCGCAACGTCTGGATTCAGGAACATCACTGATGTGCGTGGAGCTACTGGCTTGTTAAACAACCGAAGAGCGCAGGAGGGAGACAGAGAGAGACAGGGAGAAGCAAGGAATCTGATGCTATACGCAGTAATATTCCCAGCGGGTAAAGCCATCCCAAATATTCCGCGGGAATATGCTCCAATCAGCACTCCAATGCGCCACAAGACTGGGACGACCCCCCACCCTGTCGTTTTAGTCCCTTGTTTTGCAGTTCCCGGGTAACTTGAGCGGTATCAAATCATCAAATGGGAAGTTGACGAAGATATTATATGTTAATTTATAAAAGCACAGCTGATTTTTTGTGTGCTACACTTAGGTATCCTCTTATAAGAGATAATTTTATTCGAAACATTATTAAGTATTAAATGTAAGCACTTCTTTTAGTGGAAATTTAATTTTTAATTTGTCATTTTGTGAAAAATTAGCTCCTTCCTTTAAACCAAATCCTATTAGTAGGTACAGCTGATTTTAGTAGTGGGCAGCCCCGCATTTCAAGAAACCTTTTGTTTTGTCTGGGAAACACTTTTGTTCTATTGGGCCCAATACAGGTGTATATATTTGAAATAACCAAGCAGGCCCAATTAGTTAGCCCGATTATAAGTACAGTCTCGGTTAGGAAGGGCTACTAATCATCAGACGGAAACGGCAAATCATGAAAGCCCTAAACGCTACATATAACGGAAATCAGAGTGCGCGTGATCCACCAATGGGATTGGGTCTAACGAAAGGGCTAGTTCCTCACAACTTCGTAAACAAGGTTTGAATCCCTACTGAAAAAAGTACCCACATTTAGTACTTGACAGTATTTCGAATAGAATTGCCTCCAATCAATAGGAAGATACGTATGCTTTAGCAAAAAAAAGATTGCGCGTGATCCATCAAGTCCTAGAGGAAGCCCAATTTCAAGTCGACAGAAACGACGTCGTTGAAATGGTAGCTTCTTCAACAGAAAAACCCTTCTCCTGGCCTTAGCCGTTGCAAAGTTTTACTGGGTTGGCTCTCTGCAACAGTCATGGCTGACGCACCAAATGCTCAATCCCAATGGGAATTCGGCTGGTAACTCTCTTTCTCCCCCTCTCTCTGTGCCATGTCTGTTTACCAAGCTATTGTTGATCATCTAACTCTGTTTTTAATGTGATGTATTTGACTTTGTGTTCAAATACAATGCTTTTACTTATCTAACCGCTTGAATTTGTTCTTTACGGACCATGATTATGAAGCTATATTTGTCTAGGAGATGAATTATTGTGGGTTATATTTATTTTCTTCTCTTTTTACGAAGCATCAACACCTTATTCTGATGTAATTATTGTAGGCTTGATTCGCATATGCTTTTGACTCCTGGTCGACAAGGGGAACAAATTAACCCGTTGATATTTTAAGCTGTTGGAAATGGATTGTATAGGTTATTCTCGGATTGTTGTAACTCATTTATCTGACTAACCCCATGACTGAAATTTTCAACCTTAGTTTCTCTTATGATTCTGATCTCTCTTTGATGTTCTGTTCGTAGTTGCTTTGCCTTTCAAAGTAAAGAAAAATGTACTCATTGGTGCAATTCTAGTTATAAAGTTGAGTGATGCAGTTTACCGTCGATTAGCTTCCTGTGATGAACTATGTTATTTACATCTGATATTGCAAATATTTAACCATCACTTGTGGTTTTTTTGAGGTAATAATAATGTGTCAGTGCTGTCTAAGTATCCACGAGAACTTGAGAATTTTTCTTGTGCCTTATCACCTTATCAAATGTCAAGAACAGGTTTCAATTCGCTGAAGTATTGGGGCTTGTCTAAAATTCTAATTTTTTGTTCTGTGTCATTAAGTTTGGCATTTGACATAATTCCGTGTCCTAGGGCTTCAGGTGATGCTCCTGAATGTAGGATTCAGTTACTTCTCAAGTACCCAAAAATTCTCAAGTTTTGGAATAAATCGGTTAAATTTTTGTTTGAATTAAGTAAACTAGTGATGAATGGTGCAATACATGTGGAAAGATTCCATGCTCTGGAGAGGACATTTTATAGGAAGAAGCTTAGCTTTGAAAATTCTTTGGTTTGGCCTCTGTGCTTAAACTGTTGCTAACTAGTCTGTATTTAAAAGAAAAATGGTATTCTTAATCTCTAACATCTCACTTGAAACTGTTATTACTACTATGTGCAGTGACCTTGAAGTGGATTTTGGGTCTGAAGAGAATGCTTCCATAGTACATGCCGCCTTATCTGTTGATAAGGAGGTAACTAATTTAAAGATATGAACTTTCTGCTGCTTCCTTGATAACATCTAATTTTCCAACTAGAATTTGATTCAGTTTCATCTCTGTTGTAGTTGCAACCAGACAAGGTAAAGCGACTTATGACAGTTTCTAAAGGAAAGCTTTCAGTGTGAGTATTCTCTCTGCTTGATAACACTTAGATGTTCTTGCAAATGAGTGTTTGGTTACTCATGGAGTACATCATTTTCTATTTAAGTGGATGCAAAAGATGTTATTAAAATGAAATTTGCATTGATGTTGTAACTGCAGTCTCAACTTTTAATCACTATAAAGTTATCTTTCAAGTGTTTCGCTCAATTTGTATTACTTATTTTCTCACACCTCCAATTTTTTCTATTTCAGGCACTTTGAGGCAACAGAAGCCAGATTTCTTCGGGCATCATTCAGTGCTTTTGTAGATGTGCTTACCCTAGCCACAAAAACAATTGAAGAGTTTGGTCAAGGAATGGAGTTGTGATATGTGCTTGACACTTGTTAGGCTCTTCAAATGTTCTGTAATATTGTAACTCCAACTACTGTTACATATCTGCCTTCCCTAAAAAATTTTTATAGTTCATCTGTACTTGTTAATCCCATTATTATATTGGATTTTTTTGAGATTAGCAAACAGTGACACTGATAGGACTTTAGATACTGTTAGCAGGGCATTGGTTAATCTTGTTTTGTAATTTTATTTGTACTCTTGTTTTTATTTTCTTAAACTGCATAACTCTTCGATGAAAAACAAATAAGAATGAGAGAGTCTCCAAAAATTTGTGTGCAAATCTCCTTTACTAGATGATTGAGCATACAGAATATTGCATGTGGAAAACTAATGCGCAAGTGAACGGAAAACAAATTTCATATTCTTGGTTAAAATAAAAAGTTCATTAAATAATAATGAAAAAATATAAAATAAACACTCCATAATTATATCTCCTCTGTTCTTCACCATAATTTTATATCTTCTCCGTTTTTCATGCAAGTGAAACTGATTACTGCGCCAGTGATTATGCCAACTAAACCAAAATGGAGAGAAAAGCCGAATTTACAACTCGTGAGAATGCAATCCATTGTAACACAAAGATCGTATTACATTGAAACGCCACACAAAATGGCTATGGGAATCTCATTAGATCATGAAGAATCCCTCTCATAGCTAACATTTAAAACAAAAGGAAACCAATAAAAAAGAAAAGGAAAGAAAAAAAAGAAAATTTATGGCATATATGTTCATTTGAAGGACACGAGAAACAATCAACCCAAAATGGTTAAAAAAATGGCAAGCAAAACTCCAGTTGTTTCTACCCTCATGTTCTTGGGTCTCTTAATTTCAACTAGCTCGACGCCAATCAGTACTCGTCCAAGTATGAGTAGAGCATATCATCCTTCTTTGACTTACGCCTGCTGAGTAAGGCCTTTAGGAGTCTTTTACTTTTACTGGGAATTTGCTCAACATCCTTCCCGTTCTCCCTCTCAGCAGTGAGTCGCATTGAATATGATTTGCGAGGCTCAGAAGGGTACTGGCAGAAACATAAATCAGAAGCAGTGAAAAAAACATTTCAGAACCCAGATCAATTTCAAATACAGAACTTGGTCAGTATCGAAATCATTAACTATACTGCAATTGATGAACTGAGACAAAAACAAAGTATGGTTTACTTACCCTTGGTCTTACAGGAGGATTTGGTGTGGTTGGTCTACTTGAGTTTGGAGTTGTGGGTCTGCTACTAGACTTTGGTGTTGTAGGCCTACTTGACAGAGATCCAGTTCGCAAAAGTGGAAATCGGTACGGTGATGTTGCCCTCTTATCTATAGTTCATGCATAGATTGTAGATTCTAACATCAGTAAGAGAATTTCGAACCTTTATGTGTAAAATGACAAGCAACTATAAGATGAAGCTATACAAAACATGCAGACAACCTAAATCTTTCTTGGGCGTGCTAGAAGTGAATGAAAAAGCTCCTGACTTTTGAGGTTGTAAAGGTGATGGGGATCTTCCTTTGCTGCAATCAAAGTGAGACATTATATCATGTTCCTCTAATTGTGCTATTCAGTAAACCTTGATTTGCAGATATATGCAAATACCTCACTGTAGAAGGTGGGGTCTCTCTGATTGTAGCTCGAACAGCTTCATGGAACAAATCAGAAGAAAATACGTTTAGTTAATGTTAAAGGTAATTCTTTGAATATATTAAATGAAAACTACGAAGAGAGATCAGAAAGAGATACCATTCCTAAAGTGATGCCAGTCATCTTCATCATCTAGATTGCATCCTATGTATTTTGATCTTTTTCTGTTGGCACCATGGATGGTCTCCCCAACTGAAAGCATGAGTTTAAGGAATATGAACATGATGAGCATGCAAAGGCATCATTTCTAACCAATGACTGGAACAAAATACGATGAAAAGAGAACAGCCTCGTTTAGAATTTCAAGATGGAGTCGAGCAGAATCAAGAATATCGCATAAACTTGCCTGGCAGAATGTATCGCTTGTGATATTTAGGAGTATTTATCACCAGTGACTGTTGGGTCCGTCCCTCATGATCCATAAAATCTTGGCATGTTCTTATTCTCTAACATCAAAGAAAGGGTCAATCTTCAAAGCCATAGCAACGAATTAAGATTAAGCTTTGACCTGAATTTTAGCATGATTGGATTTTAACAACCCCACAGGTACCAAGACTTCTATTATGAATTGTGCAGAACATGACTCAACCTGTCCACTACTGACGGGTATATAAAATTTATTTTAAAATAGTAACTGTTCACAATTTGAGAGAAATCGTAAATCTACAGTAACCTAAGTTTTACTTTTTGTGTGTGGGTGGATACAAAAGCAGATAGATGGATAGATAAGTCCATGTTACTTCAAGACGACAAAATAATAATGATTGTTTTCCTACCCCAATAAATTATATAATACCCACTGACTCATTCTGATGATCCCATAATGAATTATGAGAGTATATCAAATTTTCTCTTCAGCATTTACTTTCATGTTCAATTCATTTTCTTTCTGCAGCTAAATGGAGGGTACATCATTATACCTGTTGAATACAGGATGCGCGTAGCTCAGCTTCAGAGACTTCAACAATTTTCTCATCTAACAAGTCGTTCACCTTATAGGTCACAGAACCTATATGGTCCACTGTATTTACAAGAGCTTTTATGGCATAATCCTTCAGTGTCTCTACCACGCTGCCAGAATAATAAAGATAGAAAGAGAAATAAAACAAACAGTGAAGGAGTCGAAGTGTATAATAATGCTACTATAAATACAGAACAGAGATATCAGAGTCACTCACATCTGTTTTTGGTCATCATTGGTGTATGAGAGTTCAAAATACTCGGCTGCAGAGTATAATTGTGTTCTCAGATTCTTCAAATCCTACGAAACAGATTAAAACAGAAGGCTTATCAAAACTTCTCTGCGCTAAAACACACCTAATTAAAAGGTTTGCTCTAAGTCAACAGCATTGTTACATATGCAGTAAAGAGGTGATACCTTGAGACAATCATCAAAGAGCAAGCTCTGGTGCATGAAAACCTCGTCATAATTGGAAGCCTCCCGAGCGATGGGCTGGGTTGAAGTTGTGATCTTCCCCATGGATATACAAAACTGGAAGAAGACCCCTCCTCTTCATGAGAAAT